AAAGAGCCGGGCATTGGTGACATACACCTTTAATCCCAGCATTCAGGAGGCAGAGGCAGGCGGATCTCTGTGAGTTTGAGGCCAGTCTGGTCTACAGAGCGAGTTCCAGGACAGGCTCCAAAGCTACAGAGAAATCCTGTCTCGAAAAACCAAAGGGGGTGGGGGTAGGGGTGGAGAAAGAAAAGAAAAAGAAACATGGAAAACTATGGTACCTATAAGTTGAGTCTTAGCACATGGCATGCCTCATTCAAGTTGTTCTACAATATGGGAATCAACTGGCTAAAGTGTAAATATAGACAAAATAAAAATGCCCTGGACATAGGGAATGTACAGCAATTCCTGGAAGCTGATGTCCCCTGCAGGCGCAATGGTTAAATTCATTCTTAAAGTATCTCAGTTTTCTTTAGAGGGACCTGTGTGAACCCACACCTATATTATGTAATCCACAATATAGTGATGAATTTTTCCCATCTCTAAAACCCTTCCCCATTTTTCTTCTACACCCCAAAGTTCTTTTGTAAATGCCTAAGTGCTCCACCCTTAGAGCGACTGCTGTTGAAGTCTCAGGATCTCCCGACAACCTAGACATCACCTGGAATCACAATTCAGAGCTTCTCAGTGAAGGTTTTGCAGGCATCAGGAAAGCAGCCTGCAATTCCCTTCAGACAAGTCTGCCTTTATGCCTGCAAGTTCCTTTTCTCTCCTTACAAGATGCATGAACTACAGTGGGGTACACCCCACGTGTGTCCTTTTGGGTTCCCATTACTGCCTATTTACCACATTTAAGATAATCTTAGTCTTGTGGCTTTGGTTAAGCAGCCAGCCACTTTTTTTGAGGCAGGATTTCTCTGCATGTTTGGAGCCTGTCCTGGCACTTGCTCTGTAGACCAGGCTGGCCCTGACTGCCTCTGCCTCCCAAGTGTTGGGATTAAAAGTGTGTGCCACCACCGATGGGCCAGTCAGACAGTTTTTAAAGACTTGCCAGTTTCACTCCTGATTTTTTTTTTTTTTTTCACTCCTTCCTCAGTTTGTGGGGATTTGGGCTTGGAAACTTATTTAAACAAGGCATCTAAGTTGGTTAATCGTGCTATCAACCTTGTATTTCTTTGGGATCATCAGGGATGAGATAAAGATGAACTCAAAATCATCCATTCATTCCTTACTGCTGTAATGTAAGGTTCATGTGGCTGAACAGATGAATCAACACCTACAAGCATTGTCTGCTCATACACATGGGCCTGACTTTGATTCCTAGCACCCAAGAAATAGACAGCTCAAAACTGTAACTATAGGCATAGGGGAGCAAATACTCTCTTGTAACCTTCACTGGCACCTGGCATGCAACTGATATATAAATACCTAAGTTAAATTTCATTCTTTTTGAGAATAAGATATACATGAAGAAAACTTTTTTTTTTTAAATAAGGAATCACATATAAATCTATATTCTCACCATCTGTATATCTGGTGCCCTAGGATGTCAGAAGAATGTGTCCGTTGTCCTGGACCTGGAAATACACTATAATGCTAAAGATGAAAATGCCCTATTACTCCCTCTGTTTCTTACCCCTTGAAGGTGATGAAAATCCCCACCAGATATTTGTCAAAGGATTCAAAGGCCTACTATACCTCTGTGAATAGACTATCCACAACGCCTCATATTTTGTTTAACACGGTTCTCTTAATGTGAGTAAAGATAACAAAAGGCTTGGTTGAAATCAGTCAGATTATATTAAGATAAATTCCGTAATATGAGATTGTTTTCTTTTTAGAGCTTTTGAAATTTTGGAGATAGGATTTCTGTACATACCCATAGCTCTGTCCACTCTCTCCCAAATGCTGGGATTATAGGCACGTGACTCTAAGACCAGATGGGACTTGTTTTTAAAATGACCCTATCTTTGAATGAGAGAATTAATAAGATTTAAAAAGGAACCATCAATGTTTTCATGAACAGCAATATGTCTCAAGATTCTATAATAATTTAAACTGGAAAATCATTTTATGTATCCTCAATAATTGAGATATCTTCTTTGCTTTCTTAATGTCATCAATTTAAAAAATGTTGCCATGATGTGTATGTGGCAACATGATGTGTAAGTTGAGACAACTTAAAGCTTTCTTATATCTTATCGTATGTGAGTTCTAGACATGAAAGCCAGGGAATCGTTTAGCTGCAAGTAACCTCAATGGCATTTATTTGGGTTTTTAAATTATTCATGTATGTGTTGTTGTAAGAGGGTGCATATGCCACAAATATAGAGATAAAACATGCAGGAATAATATAGGTTTCCTAGAGATTGGATTCAGGACCTCAGGCTTAGCACCGCCCACCTTTACTCATAGAAACTATTCTTTGGCTTTCACATGTGATCCTGAGAAAGTGTTATGAACAGTGTGTGGCCCTCATAATAAATCAACACATTTCACATACAACAAAGGAATAACAAAAGAGATAGCAATGGATCATTTTCATTTGCTGGTAGGATTTATTATTTAATTTCTCCTGTTTCCCATTACCTGTCAATTAAAACATGTTTACAACCTGAAAAGAAGACAATATTTTACTGATTTAATGTTTCAACCGATCTTATTTGTGCATTGACGACAAACTCTTTTGGAAATGTCTCTGTTGTGCAAGGCTGTGACCTCATCTTGATCACCATATGAAGATGGACAAAAGTAGACCCCCATAAAGTTTTCTTCTGGTCTCCACATATTTGTCATGGCCTAAAAACCCATAGTCACATCACACACACACACACACACACACCAGAAAAATTTTTAAAAAATAAACCCTACTGTCATTACATTAGCTGGCAATACTTCAAAATGATGTGCCAAATGGGTAACTAATGAGGACATGAAAATACATGGAACTTCAAATAATATATACATATCCTTATCCTACCACATTACATCTCTTTCAGATAGATGAAAATGTTTCCTTGGATACACATATGAGGCATTTAATGTGTTTTTATATTCTCTAATAAGTATTTTAACATTAACATTGTTAAATATTTTGACAAAACAGAAAGTGTTGCATGTACACCATCTACCCTTAGACTTGTACTTAGGAGAATAACACATCATGAGTTCATATGTATCCCTGACTAATTACTGACATCCAAGCCACCCTGGATAACAAACATTTCAAGGGAATTTGTGAAAACACATGAAAAGTAAAACCAGGAACAAAAACCCACCACCCTTTCACAGACACCCTTAACTTGAAAAGTATGATCACGCACTGCCTGGTATTTAAATAAAAATGGACCATTTGGAAAACAGCCATCCTAGTCTATACATGGAGGTAGAAAAATGTCTCTCACTTACTGAAAGCACAATACAAGATGAACAAAAGCCATTGAAGGAATAGGACCACAAAATAAACTTCACTAAATGGATTTGTCACACATATAGCACACTTTAATACCTACCTCAAATGTTGTACAAATAGAAGACACAATGTGATCATCACATCAGTCTTTAATGAACTTGGTTAATGATTTACTTACTTCTAGGCTAGGATGAAAAAGAGATGAAACACCTTCCCCCCCCCCCCCCTTGAAACTGAAGACAATTGTCATGTCTAAATTCTTTACCAAATTGATTACATGAATAGGGTTTTACTTTGGTATGAGTTCCTCCCTATTTAATGATATCAGGATGATATAAAAAGCTTAAAAATATTTACAGGGCTAAAGACATGACTGAGCCCTTATAAGGTGAGTTTTCCTGGCCTGGCAGACCCTGCTGCTGCTTCAGCCCCAAATGAACATGCAGACACTATATTAATTATGAAACTGTTGGTTGGTGGCTAGCATTTTTATTGGCTAGCTCTGTCTTAAACATTAACCCATTTCTATCAATCTAAGTGTTTCCACGTGGCTTACCAGGAATGCTAGACCTGCAACTCCTTTGCCTTTTCCATCTCCACAGAGAAGAGAGCTATTTCCTGTTTGTCCCTGCTTATATTCTGATTCTGCCTAGCTACGTCACCTCCTGGTATGATGACTCCTCTCTGCCTACACTTCCCAGAATCCTCCCTGTCTCCTAGTCCTGGCCAATCAAGTGTTTTACTCATCAACCAATGAGACAAACATATGTACAGAAGAGCATTCCCTATCAAGCCCTTAATACAATTCCCAGGACCATGATCAGGTTTTTTGACAACTTCAGTTATTCCTGCTAAAAGAAGCCCCAAGGGACTAACCTTGGAAACAAGAAAGCACATACCCACACAAAGACACACTGACATGGCATAATTAAACAAATCTTTAAACTAATTTTCACTCATGAATGCTTTTCCCTTCTAACTCCTGTAACACAGGTGTTGAGGCGTTTAAAAGCTTACAGAGTTTTTCTCCATCATGAATTGTAACATGAATATGTTACAGAGTTTTTCTCCGTCATGAATATGTAACAGAAAGCAAGCTTGAAGTTGGAGAAATCAATCACTCTTAGCCTGTGGTATCACTTGGAAAGATTTAGGAAATGCAGACCTGCTGCAAGGAATATGTCTCAGAGTTTGATGGGAGATGCAATTCTGTAAATATGTTTCTCATACTGGTTAATGAATAAAGCACTGTTGGACAATAGAAAAGCAAGACAGGCGGGACTAGGGGACAAGGAGGAGAGAGGAAGGAGTAAGGAGGAGTCAGCATGGAGAGACCAGGGAGACCAGACACCTGCCCCACTCCCCAGTAGGTGAAACCACGTGGAAATACATAGAAATGGGTTAATAATTAACACAGTGCTAGCCGATAAGAAACTAGCACCTGGCCAACATCATAATATCAAATACAAAGTCTCTGTGTATTAATTGGGGCTGGCGTGGCGGCGGGACAAGACCGGCGGCGGGAGGAAAAAACCCTACTCCTTACAAGAGTTTATATCTGCTCACCAATTTAGTTTACACTTTCTGCTTCATGCCACAGGTTAAGGGTGTAAATTCTTACTTTCCTACTTTAGCTGCCACGTCTGACACATGTTTCCATGATACATTCATGGTGATTCGGTATCCCTCTGTAATTAAGGGCCAAATTAAACCCTTTTGTAAGTTCACTTAGACAGGATGTTTTATCACAGCAACAGAAAAGGCACTAATATACATCTATTAAGTTTTATAACTGGGTTCATTATTTCATGTAATTGCAAAAAAGAAAACTATGAGTCCCTTTTTTTCCAGGGATTCAAAAATCGAATGTTATATTCAGAGGCTTTAATAGACCTATTACACACAAAATGTTTTATTCTTGTATAAAGAGACTACCATGACTTGCAAAACATTGCTACAGTGACTACAGTTAGATGGTTTCACTACAGTATGATTTTTTTATATTTCTGAAGGTTTCTGATACAAAGGGTATGTCACAATGATTACATATGTAGGGTTTCTCTCCAGTATGTATTCTTTTATGTATTTTAAGACTATTGAGTTGTGAAAAGGCTTTACCACATTGATTACATTCATAAGGTTTCTCTCTAGTATGAGTTCTTTTATGTATTTGAAGACTACTTTGACATGCAAATGCCTTGCCACATTGATTACATTCATAGGGTTTCTCTCCAGTATGTGTTCTTTTATGTATTTGGAGACTACATTGACGTGCAAAGGCTTTACCACATTGATTACATTCATAGGGTTTCTCTCCAGTATGTGTTCTTTCATGCCTTCGATAATGACTCTGATGTGCAAAGGCTTTACCACACTGATTACATTCATAGGGTTTCTCTCCGGTATGTGTTCTTTCATGACTTCGATAATGACTCTGATGAGCAAAGGCTTTACCACATTGATTACATTCATAGGGTTTCTCTCCAGTATGTGTTCTTCTATGCATTTGGAGATTACTTTGCGATGCAAAGGCTTTACCACACTGATTACATTCATATGGTTTCTCTCCAGTATGTATTCTTTTATGCCTTTGAAGATGATTGTGTTGTGCAAAGGCTTTACCACACTGATTACATTCATAGGGTTTCTCTCCAGTATGTGTTCGTTTATGCATTTGAAGATGACTGTGACATGCAAAGGCTTTACCACATTGAATACATTCATAAGGTTTCTCTCCAGTATGTGTTCTTTTATGATTTTGAAGTTGGCTGTGACATGTAAAGCCTTTACCACATTGATTACATTCATAGGGTTTCTCTCCAGTATGTGTTCGTTTATGTATTTGGAGACCGCTTTGACACACAAAGGCTTTACCACACTGATTACATTCATAGGGTTTCTCTCCAGTATGTGTTCTTTTATGCATTTGAAGATAACTGTGACATGCAAATGCTTTACCACATTGATTACATTCATAGGGTTTCTCTCCAGTATGTGTTCTTTTATGTATTCGGAGACTGCTTTGACATACAAAGGCTTTACCACATTCATTACAATCATAGGGTTTGTCTCTAGTATGTGTTTTTTTATGTACTTGGAGATTACTTTGATGTGCAAAGGCTTTATAGGGTTTGTCTCTAGTATGTGTTTTTTTATGTACTTGGAGATTACTTTGATGTGCAAAGGCTTTACCACATTGATTACATTCATAGGGTTTCTCCCCAGTATGTGTTCTTTTATGTATCTGGAGACAACTTTGACGAGCAAAAGCTTTACCACACTGATTACATTCATAGGGTTTCTCTCCAGTATGCGTTCTTTTATGTATTTGGAGACTACCTTGAGATGCCAAGGCTTTACCGCATTGATTACAATCATAGGTTTTTTCCTCAGTATGTGTCTTTTTATGCATTTGAATATGACTATGACATGCAAAAGCTTTACCACATTGATTACATTCAAAAGGTTTCTGTCTAGTATGTGTTCTTTTATGTATTTGAAGATGACTGTCGAATGCAAAAGCTTTAATGCATTGATTGCATTCATAGGGTGTCTCTCCAGTACATGTTCCTTTACATATTCGAAGATGACTATGACATGCAAAGGCTTGACCATATTGAATACCTTCATAGGATTTCTCTCCAGTATGAAATCCTTCACGACTTTGAAGATGACTCTGATATTCAAAGGCTTTCATACCTTGAGTATATTCAAGTTTCCCTCCAGTATGACTTCCTTCACGCCTGCAAGGATAATTGACACATGTAAAAGCTTTACCACATTAATATCACTGTTGAATCTTTATATCTGTATGAACTGATTTTATAATTTGGTCTAATTATAAAGAGTAATCAGATCTCAAGCTTTTATCACTTTGTTTACATTCATGTTGTTCTCCTTCATTAAGGATGGTTTTGATATTTGAAGAAGCCTGTGATGGTAGGAGTCTTTATTATGTGGCTCACACTTATGGCATCCAATTTCTCTATGAGAAATCTCACATGTTTGAAAAGAAATGGAAGAATTCAGACCTTTCCCCAACTTATCCCATTGATAAATTTCCCCACACTGTGAGTTATACTACATTTGCAAAGTGAACCAAGACAAATACAAATATTTACACATCCCCAGCACTCATAGGGCTTTTCAGCAGTGTGCGTTTCCCAAAGAAGCCAGAACACCAATTACTTGTTCTCCTGCATCACATTCAACAAATCTACTCAACACGGGGACTACTACATATCTTCTAATTGTTCTGAGGTGAAGAGAGGCACATTGCTTTTTTCCATATCCCTATGCTTATATGGCTTGTATCCAGAATGATATATGACATACCTATGAAGAATGACAAAAAAAGGTTTCCACATTGCAGTCACACAGTTTGATTTTCTGTCCCTCACACACATATAGTATAGGAATTACAGTTTCTCTACAACAACCCCCCCTTAACTCTTGACTCTAACTTCCCATCTCACTAAACTTAGCAAAGACAGAACAAATATATGAGTAATGCTAGCTTCACTATGTAAAGGTTTTGGACATACACTTATAACCTATTCAGCACGTACACCTTTTGTAAAATGAGAGGTATGAAACTAAATGGGTTGGCAGTTTACAGCATTGCTCTGAGGGAGCTATGATTCAAATGCTGGTATCTGTTAAGGCATTGATTCCTTGTCTTCCTTCTTAAAAAGAATGACTTGCAAACACACCTCACTTACCTGCCATTGAGGAATATGGTTTTGTGAGAATTTATGATCATCATCAATGACTTTTGAGCTGTGCTTATTTACAGTGCTACTTTTTAAAAAAACTTCCAGATACATTAAAATATCTTCAGAGGTGCATTTGTATCAGCATCCACATGAAAATTACCTTCCATGTCTTCGAGAAGTTTGACAATGTTCTTCAATATAATGGTTTTCCCATTTGTAGCCTAAAATACAGTACCAGGAAATGTATGATATATTATTGGAAACTGTAAAACATTCAAGTTACTATCTTCAGTGAACCTTAGAACCATCTTTAATTTATCCACTTCATTTCCTCATTCTGGATCAAAATTGCAGAAGAGCATTAATAACCAAGCAACAGTTGTCCCCTTATTTTAAAACATGAAGAAAAAGTCAAAGCATTACCTATAGTAGTGAGGTTCATATAGGTCTCCAGCATCACATCTTTGTAGAGATTCTTTTGGGAAGGATCCAGCAAAGCCCATTCTTCCCGAGTGAAGTCAATATGCACATCATTGTAAGTCACTGCAGCCTAAAATATGCCATACATGTATATAATAAAAATAATAAAAAGCGTGATACTGACAACTCTGTAAATGTACACTTCTTTGACAATGTAGTCATATGATTTGGTGTATCCCACACTTACTCTATGACACAGACATTATCATATAATATAATATAATCATAAAGTCACTTTAGAAGGAAACTGAATACCACTATCATTTCTGAACACTTGGAATGATATATCACCTTGCAAGAGAAATGTCTATTAACAGACATAGAGAGACAAGCAAACAGATCAACAGTCCTGAGTACATATCAGAGAAATTGTATGAACAATTACTAACTGCAAAGAAATATGAATAAGCTGGTGTATTGGCTCACGCCTTTAATTCCAGCACTCAGAAGGCAGAGGCAGGTATATCTGCCTCTGAGTTGAATGCTAGCCTAGTATATGAAATAAGTTCCAGGACAGCAAGAAGGAATTATTAAGAACCCCTGAAAGAAGGTCATTCAACCAAACAAAAAAGAAAGGAAGAACTCAAAGGTTGTTTTTTATTTATTTATTTATTTTTTACTTAAGTTCCTAGAAAGAGTTATGCATTCATTTCAGTTCTGTAATCATCTTCCAGAAACCATGAAGTGCTATCATTTAAACTGTAACTTTAATAAATCTAAAAGGAACTGCACATTTAAACAGTTACAGATAGGTGAAAATGTTAGCAATGTCAATGTTGACCATAAGTAATTAACACAGGGCAGGAGAGATGGTTCAGAATTTAAGAGCTCTTGCTAGTCTTGCATATAGGTGGGCCCGTGTGGTAATATCTTGTTTGTACAAATGAAGTGTATCTGAAGGTCAGAGGATGGAGCTTGCTCCTACTTCTCTCTGATCTCTCACCATCTCCCCCTATGTCTGACTCCAGGTTTCCCCTCCCCATTCTCCAAGCCTCCTGTGGATGCCTACGTGCATCTCTCCCTAGCCCCCCTCCCCTTAGTTTTCAACAACTGAAAGCATTCTCTCTCAAACACACCAGCCAAGGAGGGCAGGAAAAAGGGCAACACAGCTAATATATGCCCTGAAACTCCAGAGAACAAACAGAAACCCAGGAATAAAACGCCCACCCAACAAAGACGAAGTCAGAAAAAAAGGCACCTAGACCCATAATCACTCCAAAGCCAGATGCCAAGCATAAGAACATATTCAACAACAGCCAGGGCAATGTGTTACCACAAGAGCTATCCTATCACCAGCTGGCCCTGAATATTCGAACATAGCTGAAATACAAGAAAAAGACCTTAAAACAAACTATGTGGACATCACAGAGGCCCTTCAAAAGAAAGCCCTTAAATAAATTCAAGAAAATAAAAAACAAGTATCTATGCCCCAAATATAAGGTGAAAGAAACTCTTCTACAGATTAAATCACACATTAACTTTCACAGTGTTTAATACTGGTAGACTTCAATACCCCAATACTCAACAATGGACAATACAAAAAGTAAACAGAGATATTATAGATAATGGACTTTATAAACCAAATGATTCTAACAGATACTACAAAACATTCCACCTAGACAAAAAGAATACAACTTCTTCTCAGTACCACATGGATTTTTTTCTAAAGTTGATGACATACTTGGACACAATATACTTCTCAACAGATACAAGAAAATTGAAACAATTCCCTGCATCCTATTAGACTACCATGGATTACAGTTGGATATCCAAAAACAAACAAACAAACAAACCTAACCTTAGAAACAAGAAGCCTTACAAAATCATGGAAACCAAACAACTCTACTGGAGAAAGTGGGTCAAGACAGATATAAAGAAGGAAATTAAAGGCTTTCTAGAATTCAATGAAAATGAATACACAACAAACTTGGGGAACAAAATAAAAGAGATGATATGAAGAAACTTCATAGCACTGAAACCTTCCATTAAAAAAAAAACAAAACTCTCATACTAGCAACTTAACAACACACATGAGAGTTCCATGAGAGTTCTAGAACAAAAAGAAGCAAGCATACAAAGAAATTAACAAACTGAGGGCTAATATTAACAAAATAGAAACAAAGAAAAATACAAAGGATCCATGAACACAGATTTGGTTCTTTGAGAAAATAACAAGACAGACAAACCCTTATCCAAACTAAGAGGCAGAGAGAGGGTATCCATACATTGAGGAAAGCTGTAGAATGCAATACTACTCAACGGTAAAAGCAATGGCATCATGAAAAAGCGGATTACCTCACTGCTCACTGCTAATGTCAAACGCTGTCAAAACAGGGGAGTGAGATTCCTTTTTGTTCCCCCTTTACTCTTGGCCACTGAACTCAATGAAAGACAGAGAGATCGGAGGACACTCGCTCACTGTTGTATTCTTCCCTCTCCCAGACCAGTTAAGGCCCCACCTGGAGGCAATTGCAGGACTGTCTTCCCATGACTGGAGGCAGAATTAAAATTTTCAAAGCAGTATATAGTGTGAGGCAAGCCTCAGCTACAGAAGACATTAATCTAAACCAGTGGTTCTCAAGCTTCCTAATGCTGCGACGACTTAATATTGTTCCTTGTGAAGTGGCAACTCCCCAATTATAAAATTATTTTCACTACTACTTCATGACTATAACTTTGCTACTGTTAGCAATCATAATATAAAACATCTGTGTGCTCTGGTGGCCTTAGGATTATTTCACTCCCCAAAGGGAGCCATGACCTACCCCACCCCAGGTGGAGGGCTACTACTCTAAACTGATATTAATCAATTAATTAATTAACTTGCACTTAATAAAAAACAGAATGAAATTCTTAATGACTGGGAAACATTGGAAACTAGAAACAAAGAGATTAGAGCAGTAATTCATTTAAAGGAAATGAAATTAAAAATGATACCAATTGAAAGAATAATAGGCTATACTGATGTTGAAAAAAAAAAAAAAAGTAGTTGTTTCCCTGGT